TATCATTTATGTATAAAGTAGTTATTTTCGCTTATTAGTCACGTTTGCCTTTCAAGCTTCGATATGTAATCGAAAAATTTGACCATAATTCTGGGGACTCTAGTAAAGAATTTATCTTGAACTGGTGACCGCACGTTTGCGTAAAAATAGACAAAGGCTTCTAGATTGCATTTTACAATGTGTTAACAAAATAAGTTTGTTTTTCACGACTACGAACCACCTCGAACTGAGATAAGCTTGAAATATCCAGTATTTGTTACCAAAACAAGTTTGGCAGTTACCCTGCTCATAAAACGTGGTTTACAAATACCATGCTTGTTCTCATCGAGTTATAATTTTGCAGTCGAGTCTCGAAATAGTTTGTGTGAAATTCGTAAAACTAAGCACATTTACTTGAATTGGATATTATATTTACATATGTAAATGAAGAAAGAACCATATAGGTGTTATTTATTTGCAATTGAAACATAGCACACAATTTCCATTTTTTATTTAATTTATGCTCGTTATGGCGAACCTTTCGTGAAATCCATTTATCAACACTGCAACAGTGAACGTCTATGTATAACATAATATGGAAACCTCTTATAGTAATTACAGCGTTGATTAATAATTACGTCGTGCCGTATAATAAACAAGATAATGAATTCTTATTATAAATTAATATGATACCATAAAATATCGTTTCTTTTATATGTATATTCATAAATGTAAATGGTCAGACCAGCTCACATCCCGATAAGTATTAAGTGATTACAGGAGCCCATTGACCGCACATCGTGAATGCTGACACCCATTTTGAGGCATGAGATTGAAGATTGAATTATATGACAGCTATTCTACTTTTGAATTGGAACATGCGACTGCTTCAAGATAGAAATAGAACGAAAGATGAAACCAACCAAACCAGGCTCTGAATTAATAATTTAAAATAAATCTATTCAGCTTATGCTTAGGTGAAGTCAAATCTGAGAACTCATTAATCATCTTTGATGACAGCACACTGCAAATTTCAAGGCATCAAGTTTAATTTAACAAAAAACATAAGAGTTAAAAAAACACACTCCCATCTTATTTTAGTACTAAAAATATGATAACGTAACGTCAATGTAATAATGCAATGAACTAAAAATAGCTACGCAGCTTTCAAGAATGATTGAACGAGATATTATGTTTTTACTCGAAAGTAAATTACTGTCTGGAAGGGTTCTCGAGTGTCTAAGATACTATTTATAATATTTATTGGGGAAACCAAAACTAAAATACAATGTACACAGATAATAATTTAATATCATATTTTAAAATAAGAATTAAATACTGATATTCAATGACAGATGCCAACGAGTAGCAACACAATTAACACCGAGGACATAAACAATTAGAACCAAAACAAACAAAAAATACTACTTTGACATTTAAGCTATACTAGACGATGACCGACGAGCTTTGCTCGGTTTTATTTTTGATAACGCCATCTTGTTGTGTCTTTTAAAGCGGCTAGTTGCCCTCAATTAAGAAAAATAGTATTATTATTCGCCAATAGATGTCGGGAAGACTTGATTATTGAAAACACGAATAAAACAACATTTTGTGAAAATAAATCGTAGCTAGATCGATTTATCGCCACCAAAATCCCTTGTATACTAAATTTTATGAAAATCGTTGGAGCCGTTTCCGAGATTCCGATTATATACAAATATATTAATATACAAGAATCGCTCGTTTAAAGGTATAAGATTAAAATCAAAGATTGCACTAGGTTAATTTTCAAGCATTTAACTCTCTGGTAAATATGTAGTTTAATCAAGAGTTTCGTTAATTTGCAGCAATTAAAGAAGGCGTCGGCGGGCCTACACCGTATATTACTTCCTGAGATTAACTCCGAAGTTCCAGTTAATTTCCTACGTTCAATCCAAGGGGATTGACATCTACGGAGCATAGATAGCTAGATTGCTCTTCCACAGATGTGGTTACGATAATAATTAGGGTATTATTTCCAAAAAGGGTCCGTTAAATAGGAACTTAAGCTGCTTTCTATCAAATAAAAGGGAAATGAATAAAATATGGACTTACATATGTATATAAAGACGAAGAAGATTTAGTATATTGTGAGTGAACAATAATTAAAGGAATCTACACATTTGTGTGGTTTAAATAGAACATTCAAAACTAAATTTAATGCTAAATCATCAGAGGTCTGAAAAACCTTCGGGCCAACTTAAATTATTGAAGATAAATTTAGAGAAAATGCTACTAAAACCGTAAAGCTGAGTTAATGACGTCTTAATGAGGAAGCCGGTCTCTATTTCGCTTTGAAAGTCTAAATATTCGTACGTTTGAACGCAATAAACATTAAAATGTCCTCGTTTAACTTCAGAGGCGAAAAGATTACACGCTTTCAACATCGAATTCGAACCATCTGTACATACTTTATTTAGAAATCTACGACTTTCGTTGTTAAGACAAAACCGAGACAGGTTATTTGTTAATTAATCAAAATTTATACCGAATGTTATAAATTTATATTGAAACATTGTAATGCTTTTAAAGTTAGCCTGTAACCGCTTGTTCAACTTTACAATATATTATTATGATATAATAAGTATTGCGGAAGTCGTTTTCATCTTAAGGATAACGCAGCCTGCTGCGATGAGACTATACCTAAATATAAACCCTACAAGCAGGTACCAATTTTACTTAGGCATTAATGAAGTGCATTCGTTAATTAATTCACGAACATTCTTATGAATTATTTTTTCATTATTGAAATAATACCATTGTGTAAAAAATATCAAAAGGCATCAAATTCTAACTTTCCTATAAAAATACTTTTATTGCGTAGAGGGGTGAATGAGCTCACGCGTAGTGGTATGTAGTTACCGTTGTCTATATTAACACATAGATACAGCCCCCTGAGTTTCTCGCGGGATCTTCTCAGTGGCTCGCGATTCCGATCCGGTGGTAGTTTCTGCGAAGCACTGCTCTTGCTAGGGCCAGTGTTTGCAAAACTTCCGGTTTGAGCCCCGTGAGCTCACTTACACGTCAAGAAGAAGCTGAAATAGCCTCCCAAGGCTATCAGCACAGGTAGGAAAAAAAAAGATGTCTATAGATCTCTCAACGTGAATGCTGCCACCCACTTAATTGTTCGTCTGCTGCATTAAGTATATTCAACTGTGAGGACTAATTTACTCTGGTTTCCCCCACGTCACGAGCAATGCGCTTAATTAATGTTATCTCAAGCAATGCCTTTTCATGGCCTTTTGAGATTTTTGGAACTAGCGCAATCGACGGTGAATGATGGTCAAATTTTCTAATACATCTAAGTCTATCTATAACACTTAGAATTAAAACGCACCGTGTCGTGAAGCGGTTGACTCAGCGCGTAATCTGATTTTAATTAAGTCGCATTGGGTGCAGTTCTTCTATATTAGAGTCCAAAAAAGTAGCCCACAAAGACTTCCACCAAGCGTCATCACGACGACTGGTCCCGCGCTACCTACGTTCATCGGATTGCCACGACTTTCAACAGGACTTTCAGGTGAATCGACGTCCACTGTGAGGAAAATCTTACAGTACGCAGTCGCCGTGCTATGCTTAGATATTCATAGCTTTTCAATAGGGTACCTTGACGTTATTCTTTCAAAAATCAACAGCACTACTAAGTGTGTTCGTCTCCGACAACGATTGCTGTAAAACCGGTACAATTGATCGACCCATTACCTACTGTAATATAATTATAAATGATCATAAATAACTTTAACTGAATAGGTAAACATTAAAATAAACGAATTGTTTAATTATTTTTTATTTTATGTAAAACCAGCTCCACCGGTTCTCAGTTCCCCACTGATGCAGTAGGTATATGAATTTTTGATAAAGCTAATTGATAATAGACTTCAGTTCAATTATTGATTGTTGACTCTTTTGTGCCTTGCAAGTTGATAGAGCAAGTGCTTTGTGTTCACAGGTGCATAATTTATAAGGCAGACCGCATTCAACAATATGCATATATTTACTCGTTTGGCTGTGTTGTTTCGGCCTAGCGTAGCATCACCCCATCTCTTCCCGTGAGTGTCGTATAACGCGAATAAGGGATTCACTGTACTTAAAGTAGCATCGTACTGCGATCACCAACATGCATTTACTGGTAGTAGACTCATTGTAAGCCCAGGCGGCACCAGCAACCTGGTGGTAGGACCTCTTGTGAGTCCGCACGGGTAGCTACCACAACCCTGCCTGTTGCTGCCGTGAAGCAGTAATGCGTTTCGGTTTGAAGGACGGGGCAGCTGTTTTAACTATACCGAAACCATAGAATTCATATCTCAAGGTGGATGGCGGCATTTACGTTGTAGATGTCTATGGGCTCCGGTAACCACTTAACATCAGGTGGGCTGTGAACTCGTCCACCCATCTATGCAATAAATAAATAAAAATCTTTTGAGAATTTTCAATTGTTGTAAAATTTCAAACGCTATAATTTCATATCAGTCAGGACATCAGCTATCACGCATAGTGTTTGTTTAATTTTTATTTGTATAAAACTCCGTATAAATAAATGTACTATGCTGAATTTACAAGAACACAATTAATTAAAATCTAATTTATTTTTCAAAGTTATATTTAATCGCATCATTTACAAATTAGTTAATCACATACATATTTGGAAATTTTAAAATATTTGTTGTGTAATTATAAAATTTCTTAATGACTCCATAGCTCATTTATTGATTGATAATAAAGTATTGTAATTTTAATGTTATGTTGCTTAGGAAACGATAAAATAGAAAAAAAATGGTGTATTGCAATTATTTATTACGACCCCAACTAATTGTAAAAGTTTACAATTGATCTGTTAAAACTATCGTTTTAACACTTGTACCGCACGCACATCCAAATCACGTCTCTCGATTAAGTTAAAAATATTATTAAAACTAACATATCAAAATCGTTTACAAATGAAAATAATAGTAATAGTATTTTGGAATTCAACTTTTGTTCTGCTAGCAGATACGTTTGCTTCCTGATCACCGCTCGGGGGCAATGAGTTCATCAATCCCGTGATTGCCGTTGCAATGTTCGCATGCTATCATAAAATTCTGAAAAAAAAAAAATATAACAGATATAATCATAAGTCCGAACAGAACTAACAAGGTTTGACTAGACGATGCGAAATTTTAGCGTGACAATAAATAAATAGAAAAACATTCAATTCTCCATGCCAATCCAATCTTCGTTATTATGAAGAATAGAAATCGGCAATCGGGTTCTTAATAATTATGTTTGGATACAAAAACAATTTTCATAATTATAATGAAAATGTTTTAAACAAAAATAATATAAAAAATATAAGATTAACAGGGAACAAGTCACACACGGTCATTTGACCCCAAACGAGGATTTCCTATGAAAACTAGAGGCTGATACATACTTTTAAATGCATATATACATAGATAAAGATATTAAAAGCCCAGGTAAAAAGCAAACCAGCCTGTTCATTACACAGATGTATGCTCGATCCGACCCGCAGCTCGGCTGTAAAGAACACTAACTTTCGTACTACAGACTCAGTCAGGTGAACTAAATTGAACATGTCTATACAAAATATTACTACATATTTGATAAGAGATAACTTTTTAAACTCACCAGATTATACTGAAGACGTAGGAGATCCATTGCGATAGCGTAATTTTTATTTGATTTCGGTGTGTACTTTTCCATTAGCTCCTCCGTGTGCACGGCCAAACTGTCTAATTCATAAACGGTGGTCGGTTCCTTGTCGCGCATCGCGTCCCGATGTCTGCCGTATCTAGCACCCCAGTTGTGGTGATTCCTCGTGAACCGGACGCTTCCAGCTTGTCTGGCATTACGGACAGGCTGCTCTTGCGGGCTTGGCAAATTCACCATGTCGAATTCGTTTTAAAACTGAGCACTCACAAACCTCTCGACCCATTTTATATCCTACAAACAATAGTGCAGTAATGATACGGCCAAATTACTAGAAATGGTGATTAAGTTATCACCGACCATAATAAAGCTACCAAAACAATGAATTTCTCGTTTGCGAAACTAATAGAAGGTATTTCAGGTAAAAATACTCTTTAGTTTTAAACAAAAGAAAAGCACGGTCTTATCGGTTTCTCCTAAATTTTGCACACAAAAAAAAAATGAGCAATAAAATATTCGTCAATACAATTTCTATAACAAATGTTTCAATTACTTTTGTTATGACAGAAGGAACACCTTTTATTTTATTACCCTTTTGCCCGAATGTAAAAAATGCTTTGTTTCGTTTTCATTTTAGTTCGTTTGCATTTATTGTTTTTCGCTTTCTAATTTTAAGCCGTTCCGACACACGTATTTATCGTATCGTTCTAAACTTGAAGTCGTCGTGGCCTAAAGGATAAGGCGTCCGCTGCATTCGTATGTACCGATGCAACGTTGTTCGAATCCCGCAGGCGGGTACCAATTTTTCTAAAAATATACGTATTTAACAAATGTTCATGATTGACTTCCACGGTGAACGAATAACATCGTGTGTAATAAAAATCAAACCCGCAAAATTATAATTTGCGTACTTACTGGTGGTAGGACCTCTTGTGAGTCCGCACGGGTAGGTACCACCGCACCGCCTATTTCTGCCGTGAAGCAGTAATGCGTTTCGGTTTGAAGGGTGGAGCAGCCGTTGTAACTATACTGAGACCTTAGAACTTATATCTCAAGGTGTGTGGCACATTTACGTTGTAGATGTTTATGGGTTCCAGTAACCGCTTAACACCAGGTGGGCTGTGAGCTCGTCCACACATCTAGGCAATAAAAAATAAAAATAAAGAATGATGTCGGTCCATCGTCCGCAAGATCTTTTGCCCTCAACTTTCCCTTGCACCACCAACCGCTCAATGGAGTCCTCATTACGAGTGATGTGCCCGAAGAACTTGAGGATTCGTATTTGGACTGTTGACGATAGTCTGTCCTTGATGTTAAGCTCTTTCAGGATCGAAACGTTGGTACGGTGCGCGGTCCTAAAAATCGCTAATTTTTGACTTACGTGTTAAGGAGCAAGCGCAAGAGAGGGTTAAGTGGAGACAACTTGTGAGGGCCCTACGTACCAGCCGGGTACCGAAGGACTACAAGAACAACAATAGCAATTCGCTTCAATACTATTAATAAAGTTGACTTTAAAATTAATATTGTCGTGGTCTAAAGCGTAAGACAGTTGAGGTGAGTACATAGTATCGAGCGATGCTATTATACAGGTGTTCAAATCTCGCAGTCAGGTATTTCCTCGAATTTATAACACAATTTTATATAACGAGAGGTCCCGCAGTAGTCGAAATTCGACTATAATTAATTGGAATTGTAAGTTTGTACACTGTTATGATTATATTTTATACTTCTATAATCACAAATTTTGCCAAGACTATAAAAAATATTAACAAAGACAAACAATATTTAATCTATTCTCAATTTGACCACAGACATCAAGAACAAAAGTTTAACAATAAATAGTATGCATGCGTGTGTGCGTCAAATACATGGTATGTAGTGTGTAATGTTTTCTTTATTGATTTAATGTATCTTTTATGCATTATTTAAAAAATATATTAGCATTGTGCACTCCTTCTCTATATTCTCTATAAGTTTGGAAAATTTCATACTCCTCCGTCCGCGCAATTTTTGTAAAAAGGGATACAAAGTTTTTGCTTCACGTATTAATATTTAGATAATAGCTTCCTTTACAAGTATGTTTCACGTGCCGTGAATTTTTCGTGATTAAATTGCAATTTAGCACTCATATATTAATAATAATAACATAATATTATATAATTATTAATAAGCCCTTAAACTTCAAATTTAGTACAATGATTAACTTAATTTATTACGTTATCTTAATCAGGATATCTTTGGAATTAGCTATTTTTTATATCCGATGGTATGGTGGTGTGTGTTACTGGAGCCCATAGACACCTATAACGTAAATGCGCCACCCACCTTGAGATATGAGTTCTAAGGTCTCAAGTATAGTAACAACGGCTGTCCCACCCATCAAACCGAAACGCATTACTGCTTCACGGCAGAAATAGGCAGGGTAGTGGTACCTACCCGTGCGAACTTACAAGAGGTCCTACCACCGGTAACTACACAAATTATAATTTTGCGGGTTTGATTTTTATTACACGATGTTATTCCTTCACCGTGGACGTCAATCGTGATCATTTGTTGAGTACGTATTTCATTAGAAAAATTGGTACCCGCCTGGGATTCGAACACCGGTGCAGAGCTCAACACGAATGCACCGAACGTCTTATACGTTACGTTAAACAATACACGACTAATAATTGATTCAATAAGTGAAGTAATTCAATCGGTGATTTAAAATAACAGAATTATCAAGAAAAATATTATTAAAGGCACACATAAATACATATGTACAATAATGAATGAATGTACAGTAATAAAAAAAACAATATTATTTTAATTGGAAAAAAAAAATTAGATATAATATGTATAATTTACCGGTACGTTAAAATAATTATTAAAACGAATCGTCGCTTCAGTTAGCGAGATAGGTAAATTTATATATAAAATTAATTTTTGTAAGTGCTCTTGGCTTTACGTTATTCTTTTCAATTTAGATACAGAACACTCTCATAATATCACGAGGGGGGACTAGAGCAATTGCGTTGTGTTTCCACCCAATTTATTCATAAGGTTCATAGTATGTTTCTGTAGACGATGTAACATAAGCTAAATGAATTTCCGCTTAACTTTTCATACGTTACATATTGCCCCTGAGGAATCATACATTTATAACGCATTTGTTCACTTCAAGAAGGTTTTTTTCCTTTTATTTTTCCTGTCTTTCCTAGTAAGGTTTTTTTTCTTTTATTTTTTCTACCTTTCTTAGTAAGGTTTTTAGGGTTTTACTAAGTTCATCTAACGTGTAGGCGAGCTCGTGGCTCCCAAATTTGCTAACAGTAGCCGTAGCAAGAGCAGTATTTCCCTCTATTCGATGATTTGTAAGCGAAATAAATTGTCCATTTGTAGTAAGGTGACACTCTACAAAACTGCCATACACCCGGTCCTGACCTACGCAAATGTTCGCTCACGCGGCCCGCACTAATTTGAAACACCTTCAAGTCATTCAATACCGTTTTTGCAGGATAGCCGTCGGAGCACCGTGGTTCATGAGGAACGTGGATCTCCATGATGATCTGGAGCTTGACTGCATCAGTAAGTATATTCAGTCGACACCAGTACGCTACTTTGACCGAAAATTAAACAGTCGACGTCGCCCTAAATACGTTATTTCGGATCCTGCCGATCCACTAACGGTACTTTTAGGTACCTCAAGCAGTGGTCACCGTTCTCGCCAAGCCCGTCGCCTGCGACGAAAGCTTCTGTGAGTACAGTAACCCATATAGGCCTGATATAGCCTCTCAAGGCTATCAGCATAGGTAGGAAAAAAAACCGATGTAGCAATTACATCCGCGAATAGTGAAAACGCAAATGAAGGAAGCGCGAATAAGGATATTTTATTGTACAGCCGCATAGCTTCTAATTTTAAAACAATTAGCTAATATTACTACCTAAAGTCTACTTCGATATATTAATATGTAGATGGATTATTCTATCAAATAATGTTTTAATTTCACTTATTTTCGACAAATAAACTAAACCGATTGTGTTACTTTATGTTTTAAAAGCACGGCTTTTATTTTATTTAAGTAAATTATATTCTTTATTATTTTTAAATCTTTCTACTTTAACAAATTAAAAATCAATTATTATACAGATGGCAACATACTTATTTACAAAAAAAATTGTGTGTTTTTCTTTTTAAATATATTTGCGTATTCTTTTTAATTAAAGTACTTCATAGATCGAAAGCAAAGGTTTTTAAAATAACGATTAAAACCAGAAACATTAACAAAATTAATTCTTATAATGATTAATGAATTAATTAAGAACCTGTTATGATTTTAAAGGCCCTGTATATTGAAACAGTTAACAAATTAATCATTAACGACTACAGATTCATGCCGAAATTGTTTTCTATGAATTTCCATCCATCTTGATTGTTTTTTGTAGGCAAAATATCTTACAAAAAAAACTTTTACTGACGATAGAGAGGATTTGCATATTTGACCTTATTTATTGTAGGACTACCAGCCTACCTACATTATCTGTCACGGAGTGGTCATAAGACGGGACCACCATAATACATAAAAATTAATAGTTCGACAATATCTTTCAAGGGATTCAAGGTATGAAGTAATGGTTATAATATTTTTTTCGCTCAATCAATCTTAAAACAATATACCGTAACTCATTCCCACAATTCGTCAGTAGACTATAAAGCATTCCAAGCAATTGGACATAATATTTGTATGCTCGAAAACCTTTATCCCTCCTCTTATAGTAATCGAAAAAAAATAGAATTCTCAGTTTTTTTTTCAATAAACAAAAGATAAATAAAATGGATCTTGTAGGAAAACGGTCTTAAAGTGTCAGTCAGAATAGAGTCGAATTTCGATCATTAGGCGAACAATTCAATGGACAGACAAAACCACCGCCTATCTAATGTTAACCTTAGGTAGTAAACATTACTTTTACTATCCAATTTCAAACAGAACAGGCGCAGTGATAATCTTACTTTATGTGTATTAAAATACAAAAATTTGAATGGAAATATGTAATGTCTTAGCCTTTAAACATAGCGTTAAAGTCGCGTTTCCGCTCGGTCGGGTTCTCAGCGAAGTAATAATTTCTCCGTTGGAGGAATAAAACTTTCATGCGAACGCGCGGATAATTAACACTTAAGCCTTTCGTATTCTCTGTAACGTTACGCTCGCCCCGCTGCCTATGTCGTGCATATTATATAACAGGAAATTGAATAAATATGCAATAGCAACGTCTTTGTTAAAAAATTCTTTTTTTAATGTACACATGTAA